GTGTGTATATATATATATAATAATATTTTTAATGTATTTATTTTAAAAAAAATTAGTAGTAATTTATTATATAATATTGAAAAATCTAATAGTGATTAATAATTATTAAAATATTTTATCCAAAAAATATTTAATTTTAATTTATTTTTTTTATATAATATACAAATAGTATATAATATTTATTTTTCTTTTATTTTGATATATTAATAAGAAATATAATATCATATTTTTTATATGGTTTTATTGGAGAAAATTTTGGAGAGAAGAAACTTGAAAATTTTAGAAGAAAATAAATTATTTCATAACTTATCTATTTATTAATAGGTATTACTTCATAATTTATTTCATAATGAACTAATTTTAATTAGAAATTATAACGGTAAAATTTAAATGATACATTTTGGCATAACTCCATGTCTAATATAAGAAATGAATCATAATCTTTGATAAAATAAAAAAAATAAATAATAAATAATAATAATAAAAAGATTGCAAGTATCAAAATACTTGAACTATTAATTTTTGGTAAATTTATTTAATGAAATATCTTAAATATGTTTTGTGTATTTTAAAATGAAAAAAAAAATTGTGTATTTCAATAACTTATATGAAAATTCATATCTTGAATTAATCAAACACAAATTTTAAATTTTATTTCATTTGTAATAAAGTAATACTTTAGTTAAAATAAAATTATTATTTCAACTTGTAAACATAATTTAAAAGATAATATCTCATAAATTGACATTAATATCATGAAATAATTATTATAAATAATATTTTAATAATTTCAACAAATAATTATTATGAATAATGTCAAAATTTGAGTGGTGAATAATAATTAATATATAAGTTAATTACAATAGTTAAATAAACAAATTTTTTAATAAAATGATCGTAAAATTAACCTCTAGACATAAAGATCAAAGAAGTTCGATGTATGTCTCTATTAATTAATACAATGGACAACTTAAAATCCAAATCAATTCAAATCAAAAATCAATGAAAATCACAAATTAGTGATTTGATTTGATTTTTAAATTTTTAAAATCAAATAATTTAGTTTAATTTTTAAATTAGAATGTAAAATCACCATAAACCAAATAAAATGGCACATATTTGTAAATAATTTTTTCAAATGTATAGTGCAAGTATACAAAATTAACACATAATATAAGAGGTATTTTATAAAATAATAAATTACTAAAATGTATTTTTTCTCTCCAAATATATGTTATAATATTTAAAAGTATATTATAAAATGGTAACTTACTAAACTAAATTTTAAATAAAAAATTATGAATTATTTGTAGCATTCAAAAATAATTTTTTTTAAGTGACAAACTATATGAGAAAAATATTTAATGATAACTAATTTTGTTTAAGAAATATTTTTATTAAAATAATTAATATTAAATATATTAAATGATGAAAATATTATAGTATTTATATATTTTTAATTTTATTTT